AATATACACCCTCGGCCGAATCTTGGGTCGTATCTTCGATCGTATCTCCGGCTGTGCTCCAAAAGCTACGCGAGCAAATCGAGTGTCACCCATTTACCGGGCTGCAGCTCTGTGGAAACGCTTAATTTACCGCCGGTGCGATCTCGAACGTTCGAGTGGTCCGGTAGTGTCGATAAATCACCGACTCGCGATTTGTCTCACGTTCGAGAGGGAGTCGGTTCTACGACAAGATAGTGGAAAAAATGAAAAAAATATGAGCGCATTTAATGCGAGAGACATAAATGTCGTCTAGAGCTATCATCGTACAACGAGGATTCGTTCTCGTTTAAATAATTCATCCTTTGAGCGAACGCAAATTTTATAAGACGCTCGAGATAATTCCTTCATCACGAGATATTAGAAAACTCGTTAGATTACATCGCAGAAATTATTTGTTTTCAAGATATTTATAAATTTATTCGTTAATCGATCTACTGCTTCTCTCGATGTGTTCGTAGAGAATTAATTTTCGCTTCCCATCAATATGTACATACAAGAAAATATCGTTAATTACGATAAGATGGTCGCTCGACATTCGCGAGACTCGCGCAATCCGATTTCGAGCGAAAGCTCGAGAAAGGGTTGGCAGCTTGGGTCGCGATGCGAGACACACCGACAGGTAATTACTGTCAGCTGATTACTACGGTACACTTTAATTAATACGGTATTTCGTTCTACGTTACCGATACGACACGCGATTAAACGCACGGCATGCTGCGGATGAATAAGTAATGCAAGGCGCTTCGTTTAACGAATTGATTATTTTGATTATTGAACCATGCGCGCATTAAATATACGTATATTCGTTGAAATGCGAATAGTAAAGAGCTTCTGCATTCGCTATTTATATTTATGACTTCCGCCTGGATTTTGCATACGTTACTAAGAGTTAAAACATTCGGATGGACCATGGGAAATAAGATTATTCCGAGCAAAAACCGGTTAGTAAAGTTACACGATCGGCGAACGAGAGAATCGAAAGCCTTTGATCCTTTTCGTTAACTACAATTTAAAGGTGCGAGCAATTGGTAGCACACAGCCGAGAGGCCAGGACTTTGCCCTTATCACGAAAGCCACCCTCTTATCGATCACTCGCTCGTATATATAATCGCGCATATCTGGTCAGTAATTGCTTTCGGCGATCGACTTGTTCTACGATTCAGAGAAAACTGCGCGCATTTCGAAAGGCGGACATTGTAGTAATTTATCCTCCAATTATACATTCCGTATTTTATCGTTTGAAACTACCTGTTTCTAACCATTATATATACCGGATGCAATTGCTTTATCTGTATGAAATGTACAAGGTGTGTTCTCGAAAAAAGCCTCGCGATACGTAATAATACATGATTTTATATCTCGCGGAGTGAGTTGCAATTGACTTCTCTTAACGGGAATTTAATTTGTAGTTTAAAATATGGTACAGTTCAACTTGGAAACGAGCGATTAAGATTAATACAGGTCAACCAAGTTAATAACGTGGCAAGTGAATATCGTGTGTGCAAACGCGCCTCTCTTTTCAATATATATATATATTTTCAATATATATATATATATATATATATATATATATATATAATATACACTTTCATTACGAGTTATTGGCTCTTCTATACTGCGTCCGCTCTAATGAGTTATAGCCGTCAATTTCCTGCAAATAGCCGGATAGTTAGGTCACGGATAGTTAAATTTTGACCAAATTAATTAAACGAGACAAATCGATACCAATCGATAACGTATTAAGAATTCTAAATAAAATATTAAAGTTAAATTTCATTACACTTATATTAATGTAAATATATTCTAAAGTAAATTTTATCGATGATCATTTACCAAGTATATTAATTATATAAATTTATACTTTTACGAGGAATCTGATTAAACAGAAAGTACGAAAAACCCCGTTGAAAATTATTAAATATTGATTGACATTCTCGAGAAATTAATATTCACTACAGATTGATTTCGTCGGAGCTGAAACTTGTCCAACCAACTTTTTTTCTATGAAAACACACACACACATGCACCGAGTTGAATCTCTTTACGGTTGAATGTTAACGTAGTCAGCGGTAGCCACGTTCCTACGAATCCCGCAGATACGATTTCATTACGTGTAATACTTTTATCCGCAACGGCCAATGGTTATACGGTCACGTTAACGCACATACCGACCAGATCCCACGGGCTTGGGAGGGCCGCGTCGTTGTCGTTCGGGAATTCATCCGACCGGTATGATCGCGTGCAAAAATCTCCCGCTCGATCGCGTGCCTGCACGTGCAACTAGCCGCTCCTGTCCAACTTTCTAGAAACTCGTCTCTCTGCATCGAGTGCTCGCAGAGGGATGGGTGCAGTAACCGTACGCCAACCCGTAGGGCATCCCTTCGCGTGGATAGATTTCAGGATAGGACGCGCCCATTTCCGGCGATATCGGTTAGAAGGCAGCGTCGAAAAGTGCATTTTTCGATTGACTCCGTTTCACGTGCCGGAAAAACGAATATCTCGCATTGAATCTAAGTTGCAAATTGGTTTATCTCCCTCAACTGGTTTATTCCGATAAATCGATTTAGAAAATCGACCAAGAAATAAGCTGACCAAAGTGATAATTTAATCCAAATAAATGGGAGAATTAAATAATCTAATGCGCTGCTTTATTTCATTGAATATAGGACAATGCATCTGATACAATTCTTGATATTTCCACGAGAATCTTGTGTCTATCGTCGGTTAATCAAACTGTTCTCTCTCCAAATAGTGGCGTCAATAGGCATATATGTATGTACAACAAACAGTTCCTGATCACGCGTCATTAGCAAAATTATCGGTTCATTAGGGATCCGATCATGTCTGCGATTAAAAATATAGATCGATTCAGTTTGAATTGAGAAACAATTGTGAAACAGAAGGTTTACTTTTTCTTCCAAGAGAAACCAGGTCGATTTTACTACGACCGGATTCACTAGATGATATTGCAAGCTATAATCTGGTTAGATAATGTTGGTATCGCAACGCTTTAGCCGCCACGATTGCTCATTAGATACGTGACCCGACGTCTATGACGTCTCTGGTGTCCGTGACGTTTGCGACGCCTATAATATCAACGATGTCTATCGATCAAAGTGCAATGTCTAGTTAGAACTATTATGTAGATAGCTGGCCATGCCAGGCCATCGTGCGTATTAATTATGTACACGAAACAATTTATATATATATATATATATATATATATATATATATATATATATATATATATATATATATATATGTATATACATACATACACATATGAAAACGACTCGTGCGCAGTAGCTTCCAATCTGCTACTCAGCGGTCTCGTTAATGGTTGAGAATGTTGAGATTCAAGCATAGTTGCTTTGATATGCATATTCTATTGCATTAACATTTCATCGGGACCTGAGTGTATTTTAGATTATGAAGTGACTTAAGCAATCGAATACTTTGATTGAATATCAATATATTAGGCTGAAGATAATTATTATTCTGTCAAAAATGATATGCCTATTATGCTTATTGTTTTCTTCATCTAGTAATTTTTAATCAGTTTAACATATATATAATTATTCATTATTTTATAATAATAATATACAAAGGATGTGAAAGTGTGTGTAATATACATTTTATTCATAACACGTAATACATAATTTTCTCTGTCTCTTTCTCTTTTTCTCTTCTTGAACAGTAAATTTATTAAAATTTTTAGGTAAATTTGATGTCAGATTAATTAAATAAAATTAATCACATTTATAATTAAACTTAGAATGAATAAAATTTAATAATATATTTAATGTTTATTTATACGTACATAGACTGCATTTAAGATATGCAATAAATTCTGTATTATTTTTCTGTATCATTCCGCATTATTTTTTATTTTTGTATTTTACAAGGTAGAAATATAAATATAATATACAACATACCTATTTTTTTGCAATTTATATTATGATAATCAAAGCTATCGTCTTAAGCTTTTTACTCATAACTCAAGAAGAGATACACGACGGAGAATACGATTCCACTCTGGTTTCTCTAGTATATTTCTTTATAAAGAAATTTAAATTTTTATCTCGCCGATATCAAATACGACTTGGAATAAAAACGCATGTCCTTATCGAAATGCGAATGAAGAACGTATACGCGTTTTCATCGGGAATAAGCGGAAGCAGGAACGTAAAAAGAGAAAAAGGGAGAGAGGGAAAGAGAAAGAGAAGACTGTGCCAAGTATAGCAAATTTTGCATAACCCGAAGATACATTTCGTATACGTCTTCTGGTGCATAATACATGCATCAAAGTACATACTTCGGAGCCGAGGCGGCTCTTATAAGCCCCAGGCTTTCTCGAATTCTTAAGCTCTCCCGTGAAGTTGCGAGTTGTTACTGATCTCTTCTCGCGCGACGGAGTTATGCCATCAATGACTATATTATCGACTCTAGTTTGGTACGCTTGAGCTGATTTCGTTCCGAGCACAACCCAAATTTCTTCTCGATACGTATCGCGCGTTGCTCTACTGGATTTAGTATGCGCGACAAACTCAAAATATTTTTAGGAAAATAATAAACTTTTGCAAAAGTTGACTTTCTAATATTTGTTCTGTCGTAGAGTTACGTATCGCAAATCGTAGTTAGGAATATTTACACATATATGTATATACTCTTAACTGAGAGATCAGTGTTTTCACTGCTAATAGTTGTTTTAGTTATAACAATAGCAAACAGTTTTATTGAGAAAGATCAGTTAGTGGAAGCAATTAATGAAATGGAATTAAAAATAGAAACATATAAAATCTCAAAATGCGGTTACGAATAATATTATTATTCAATGACAAATTATATTATACATTAAATTACATAATTTATGATTTTCGTAACAAAATTTATAATATATGTTGATGAATACATGAATATATATTTATAATGTTATTTATATACATATTATAAATATATATTTATAAGCGAAGCAGAGAGAGAGAGAGAGAGAGAAACCCGTAATTTTATTTCCCAACGGCCGAGTCCGAGCAAGTCGGGGCAACTTTTATAGATATGCCGAGACACAGTACGTGCGAGCGTGTCATCGAAAAGTGAACCTGCATCGAGAACCAGGTTTTGCATAACTCGAAGATATGTCTCCCTCGTCGCCTGGTCCATAATTCATGCGCTAGTGTACATACTTCGGAACACTCTTATAAGCTCGCGGAGCATAAGCCTCTCCTGTGCACGAGTTCTTCGATTCTCCCTGGAAAGTTACGGATCCATCTCTGCGCTCGTATGCAAGAGTTGCTCCAGAAGAGGCGGACACCCATTGTGGCCGACTACATTATCGATTCCAGTTTGACAGTCGAGCTGATAGTTTCAAGTATGTGTTCGAGTCGGACTCGCGGTCGAGCTGCAGCTGCTGCCGCTGCTGCTGGTTACTGAGAGAGAAGATATATATGTCAATTCGAAGCATGAAACAAACCGACGGTTTTACTGGACCGCTGTAGCTACAACCGGCAGCCGCGCGTGTACGTATTCCTCCGTATCAGAATATATACATACGATCGGCGGAGCTATGCAATCAATGGTGAACCACGCAACCGACGATGTGTTTGTTTCATGCACGAGTAATTGTGACAGTCGGCATGCGCGAACTTTGGAGTGTTAACGCTTCGCTGGTATAACTCAAGACTGCAATTTGTGGTTGTTTCATCTTGTACTCCTATACTATATCGTGATCTTTAATGCCACGAAGTAGCGAGCGGAAAGGATAAATATTGCAGACCACTGCATAGAAATCAGATATAAACATTAATAAGGTACTATTGAGAAAATTCAGTTCAAATTAATCAAGTGGAGCGCAATAAGTATTATCTCGATGTCTACTATCCTTAAGAATTCATGAAACCCACTGATTTATTAAGGTCAAGCTACGTACACGATAAAAGTAGAAAATCGATATATTAAATAATATAATAAGTAGATATTTTCCGCGAAATTGACGACTTGAAGGGAAAAAAAAATAAAAGCAAAATGTCATTTCCTTCTCCCGTATTTTTCATACGGCGACGTAATTAAAACAGTAAATGTAATCTCGCGAAGGAGAGTTTTATCGAAAATTGCGCGCGCAATCAATCAGTTACAACAATCGCCGCAAATGACCGCTCGACGGAGGCATCGTGTGCGCGATACAAGCGGATTATTGAGTTCGCGACGGGAAAATACGCGCGCGGCATGCCTGCGCCGCAATGCCCGGCTGTAATTTACCGTTTTCATGTTTTCCGATAGTCATCGTAAACCTGTCAACCGCGTGCCAAGTTTCGGCCGTGCCGCACCCTGTGACTTTCTATAGGATCCGTAATCACCGGCATGATAACGGGCTTTTGCCTTAACAACTTGTGCGGATCCAGCGCGAAAACTTTTCGAAAAGAACGTACTCATCTCCGATAACTTTTCGAAGATGTAATGGAGGTGCGATAACCGGCTTTTCAAACTGGTCGAGTATCGCTAATTGAGGTTTTCGCAAGCAAAGCAATGACTGTACGATCAGTTTATTTTTAGAAACTTCATTTTTTATGCAATTTAATATTTATATACTATTCTTTGGTACTCATTTAATAATATATCTAGTAATTACAGCATTTAGTCAAACTCTCTTAACGACATGTTATATTCATTATCTTTCGTGACAATCAGCTTTTGATTGAAAATCACTCCGAGATCAGAGATACTTAAACACCTTACCTAAGCAAATTAGTCTGATATCCCAGGTGGTCCAAGATTATTGTAACTTCCTGCGAACTATATTCCCAGGCGAAGGAAAGTTGCTTATTGCACAGCCGACACTTGATCGAGATGCACGATGCTTCATTATTTCTGCCATAATAAGCCGCGCTCCAAGGATTTCCCTAATCCTCTTTAAACATCAACGGTATTAAATGTGATTAATTATCTTGATATTCACGTCGGAAACAAACGGGTACAAAGTGGCATAAAAAAAAATCGCCGCGCACAGCCGCGTAATGGTGCCGTTAAGCGCGCGAAATCCCGGTAATTAAAACTAGTGTTTATTATGTTCCACAAATGAAAATGAAACACGTATTTCAGATGTTTCCGCGAGCGCAATTACGTTAAGGAAGGAGTCGCGTACATTTGGTTCCTGTAAATTTTCGTCGTGAGCATTTTGTCGGCAAAGTACAGCTCGCGTGTCGACGAGATAAAATTATATTATTACAGTTAAACTATTTTACTCTTCTCGCGCAGATTAAGTCGCAATAGCAATTTGTCATCTAAATGGAATTTTAACATATTATATGTATATGTATATAATTGAGCGGCGCGCTATAATTAATTTTCAAATTACGAAATCACTGCGCTTTACTTTTAACTTTACATTACATGTGGTGCTGAAAGCTTCTTTTATACAGAGGACATTTATAATTTTTATCTTTTTATACAGTATTTTATATTCTCTTCAAAGGATACTATTATGAGAAGATATTTTATATTTTCTTATTAAAATGTGTAATTCAAATTTAAACTTTTCTGAAGAAAAATGAGAATAAAATTCAATTGATATCTAATTTTTAAAAACTGATCGTATACAAACGAGAGAGAATGAGCCACCACTTTTCTTATCCCCTACGGAGAAAATATTTTTAATCTAGTCTCCGTCGCATTGCACGCGTCATTGACGAAAATTTCCAGCGATAGCATTGAGAATTGGAAATTAGATTGATCCGGGACGCTTAAAAAAGATAATAACGACGATCGGAGCCTCGAAGCTGGCGGGCGGACGAAAATGTTGAAGCGGCAGAAATGGGACGAGGAAATCGTCCGGTATTCTTCGAATTGTTCAAGATTACGTTCTGCAGCTCGTGCAGTTTCTACGGCTCCGTGGGCTTGATAAATGCTCGGGGAAAAAAGGGCGGCTGCGTCGGGATCTTTAATTTTTCACGAGGAAGGACCCGAGGATCGCACTGAATACGGCCGAGTGGGGCTCGACAAAACGCAAGGAAAAAAACGCGTCAATCTCTGTATAAATCTTGTTAATGATCGAGCATTGATTTCGCGCCAGCTTGCAACGTCGACAGTACGACGTGATGATTTATTGGTCGCGATATCTTCTCTGTCGGGGATCACTTTGGGATGTCGCGCGCGATTTGCGAGTTATTTCAACAAGAATCGACGTTAACGAATCTTGAAAGGGGACTTAATCATCTACAGAATTATCTAAAAAAGAAAAAAAAAAAGAAAAAAGAAAAACCTAAAACATCGAATCGCGTTCGAAAAAATCCTACTAACGATTTGTCGACATTTCTCGAGTAGACGCGTGAAACGGATTAATTCGTGCAATATTCATCGCAATTCTTTGGGCAATTTATCACGCTTTGCGCGTCTCCGTTCGTTCGTAAGAACGAGTAACGACGGGAGGGAAGAAGAATGCCCGGCTGGAGAGAAGTCGACGGCAGTGTTTCTCGCAATCGTGCCAACGCGACGATAAAGAAGCGGACAGAATGGAAAAATTCGAGATAAAGTGCTTCGAAGTCCACCGGGGTCTGACGGCGGAGGAGCGTCGAAAATAATGGAACAGAAGGTGCTCGCGGTCCAATCGAAACAACAATTTACCGGCGGCCGCTTTTATCTATAATAGCGCCGGACGGAAACGCCGATAGAACGTGGAAGAAGGTAGTTCTATCGGCGCCCCCGACCTCGACGGCCGGAGATTCCCGGGGCTTCCGGTACAAACGGATGGACGACACAAAATTACTCGACGTTCCTCTCCTAAACAGGGGTGGATAGGTTCCGAGAGACAGAGAAAGAGAGAGAGAGAGAGAGAGAGAAAGATCGACGATCTAGAGAAACGTTGACCGTCTCGCGAGCTTTCTCAGCTTCGTACTTTGGAGTATTTGCTTTCGAATCAGCTCCGGAGCGCATATAAGGATTCCTGAGAGAAGTAGGGCTACCAAAGAGCTTGCCTTTGTGTGTGTGTGTTTGTGTCTATATACATATATGTATACGTGTGTGTACACATGACCTCACGTCCGCGATGTTTCGGGTTTGTGGACGAAGGACGACAGTAGGAAAACAAGCCGGTGTCAGTGCTACGAAGAGCGGTGGATGAATGGTGGGTCATGTGGATGGTCATATGGTATCCCTGAGGAAAAGGGGAACAGACATCGGACAGAAGATTCGCTTCGTTTAACAGGACCGGGCACTGGACGACGGCCAAGCAGGTATCGTACGGACGTTAGCTACCCTTTTGAACGTCAGTTATGAGTCTTTCGAATTGCATCAAAGCTACACAATGGTTTCGTCTCTTCTCTCCTTCTCTCGATCGTCTTCTCTCGCTCTCCTTCTTTATTCTCTCTCCGTGTACGCGGACGGAAACTAAAGGAAGACGTCGGACGACGAACATGTCCTCGTATCTCGTCACTTCTCTTTGTCTTTCTCAGCTCTGTCCTCTTTTCCCTCTTTCTTGGCTTCTTACGTACTGTACCGCGAGTCGCTTCCCCGCCGTTTTCCCGTGGGAAAACTCAGTATTCTCAACGCTCGACTCCTTCGTCTTTTGGCAATTTCTTTAAAGTACGACTTTGTACGCGACTAAAGATTTATAAGTGCTCGAACAATGTAAAGATAAGATTTTCAATGTTACACTTTTCGTGTAAAATGTTCATACACATACATAATTATATATTTCGTGATAAATATTATATATAATATATTATCATATAATATATCATTAAATATATATCTATCACATAATATATCATTAAATATATATCTATCACATATTATATAATTCGAATATAGAAAAAGAAAGAGGGTGTGATTTAACTACGCAAAATTTTGACCACGTTTTATGAAACAAGAAAATGACATTATTATTGACGCATTTGCGTCATTATAGATGCAAATGAATTTTTAGATATCAATCATGTGATCTGAGAGAATCTAAAAAATGATAAAAAATATAACAAAGATATGTATTGAATTGTAAGTCCGAGTATAATCAGTTTCTCGTTGTGCTAAATAAACACTAATGATTCCACGACGACAAATGAGTCTCGAAGTCTCGAAGGGATTTATGCCATGCGAATCTGTTTCAATAAACGTCGGACCATTAAAGTTTTACGACGATGCGTGTTACGTTTATAGCGTGAGTGCAGGACGACATCGGACGGCAAAATTTGCTCTAATAGATTCCATTACACGTCTCTTTCAACGTTTCATTCGATTTCGCAAATTTATTTTCGGTCGAACGCGATAGCACGGGACACGTACAGCTCGTTACACGCGGCAATATTTTCGATTCTCTCGCTTCCTGCCCGTGTCGCCAAACTCACCTCCACCAATTTCCTGACTCGCGATGCATTCGAAGCATCAGGAAGCAGTTATGAAGCTACGTGCCAGCTTATCGAGACCATACGCTTCGCCGCGGAAGCAATTCTCTAAGCCGCCAATTATTTCGACAACGGAAGAAGAAGCGTTCATCCAGTCGATGAATTTTATACACACAAAAATTTGTGTACCAGCGACATAGACAAGATCCCAATTTTTTCCGATAAATGAGAGAGTAATAATAAATTGTATATATAAAATTAATTTTTCAAATTTTAAATTAAAAATGAAAAAAAAATATTTCAAAAATATAGAATTAAATTATGACCTGTAATTGAATTATATTATTTCAACCGTAAAAAATACAAACAATTTTGATAACCCACAGCGTTCTTTCTATGTACCTTCAACACCGCGATGCAGCCAATCGAACTCTATGTGGATAAAATAAAAGATACAATTCTGGTAAAAAGAAGATTGCTGTCAGCAATCGCGATATGGCGAAGCTCTGATTTCACGCCGAAAACTATCGCGCTTTCAGGCACGATTGATTTCTTCCTTCGAAATCAAACGCCCTTCGCGTTCCACGCAAAAACCTCCCATTTGACTCTCCTCTCATTTCTCTCTTTTCTCTCTACGATTGTTGGCCGTACAGGATGTACGTTCCACATTTTCTTTTTCTATTTTTCTTTTTTTTTTTTTTTTTTTGCCGGCGGGCGTATGTCGATATCGGGAACGTGAATGGCACTGCGTTTCAAAGAAACGTGAAAAAAAGCGAAGATTCAACCGGTGAACGACGATTAACGAGCCGCTCTGTCGAATACAATCTCTGTAAAGGGGGTTTTCTATAGAAAACGTGACTGTATAATGTGTCGCGCCGTCTGGCTTGTCTGTCGAAACGATGGATTTTTTTTTCAGTATTCGAGAGCGCTGTGAGCGATATTTGCCCGCGGTTTATGGTCGCATCATTATCAAACGTAACGAGAAATGTGTTCAGTCATATAATAAAAATTGATTTTTTTCTAGTGTTCAGTCATATAATAAAAATTGATTTTTTTAACTCCATCGATGACTCGAATTTTCGAAGCGAAAGGTGAAATAATAAATATTTTTACATGAATTTAAAGAAATCGTGAAATAATAAAATAGAAATTTGTAAAATTTAATACAATAATAAAGTAATTAGAAAGAACAAAAAATTGTCAATGTTTTAAAATTTATAGACGAATATTTTAGAATATTTGAGATAAAAAAGATAATTTTTACAATTGCAGGGAAGAATCTGTTTTCAACCTTTTGAATTTTCTACATTTAGTAGATTTGATTTTGTACTTTTATATTTTTTGTGTGAAAAACTGTTTTTAGAAAGTTTAATCAGAATTAAATAATTTTATTACTCATATGTTCCACTAATGAGAATCTAAAAATTATATCACAAGCATTGTGTATATAAATTTCTCATAATTTCGCGACGATGGGTACCCTGCATGTGCGATAATCAGATCTTTATTGTGCACTTGTGC